GATGTTTTATATTAGATTTAAGGGATGATGAGATGGGTTCTGAAAATAGATGTCGGCGATTGTAAACTTTATTGCCTAGTAAGAGGCTTTGAAATCAGTGATAGGTAATGTTTTAAGCAATTGTTTGTGTAACAGATTAGGGCTGGATGTTTCCACAACGAATTCAAAAACTGAGAAAATTGGCGGGAACGCGGAGCGTCTTCGGACACTCTCACTCACTCAACGTTTCGGCGGCGATTGTTGATTTCCCCTATACCTACTTATTATACTCTTTGGTTGGCGCGAGCACGGCGCGGGGCCCACTCGAGCGAGGCGTCGGCGGGGCTTCGAATTTTGAATTTTAGCGGGAGTGCGAGTTTACTGTGTTACCACCATTTTTCTTATCGCGCTACAAAGGAGTTTTTTAACATATTAATAAACGTTGCCTACATAGTCGTCATTGTCAACAGCCCGTAAGACTCCATTGTCGGAGTATGGACCTCCTTTTCAAAAGAGATATTTGCCGTAATCTCCATGTTTGGCGACCGGATTGGAGATCACCACAGATACAGATTAAAAGATTAGATTTTGAAAGCTGGACCTTGGGTCTACTCTGCAAATAAGGGGTTTGTTAGGTATAATCTCTATGCTTGGCAATCTGGTTGGAGATTGGAGACTCAAAGAACTAGGTTTATCAAAGTCACTTTGTCGACTGTTAAGATACCCACGGGAAGAGTCGGGGTGGTGAAATTGTAATTCAGAAAACCATTTACTTTTTCTTTCGTAAAAACTGCTCTTCAATTGACATTAGACTGATTTTGAAATTGGTTAATATGGCACAAAAAAAAAACAAATGACATCACAGTGACGTCAGACACAAAATGACAAGGCCAGAAATACATCGTGTGCTCTTTCTCAATCCAAGTTATTGCCGCCTCTCTAGAACATTGCAACAAAAAACAAATGACATCTCAGTGACGTCAGACACAAAATGACAAGGCCAGAAATATATCGTGTGCTCTTTCTCAATCCAAATTATTGCCGCCTCTTAAAAACATTGCACTAAAAAACAAATGACGTATCAGTGACGTCAGACACAAAATGACGAGGCCAGAAATATATCGTGTGTTCTTTCTAAATTCAAATTACTATCACCTTAAAACAATACTTAATGCGTATGTATTAAAACGCATTTTCACATAATTACAAACTCCTTCGAAAAAGTCTACTAAGTCGCAGCCAACTAGATTTCATTACGTAGGTACTTTTTGTGACTGTGTGATATCAAGAAACGTAATCAATACGTACTGTTAGAATCCTAATAATAATGCTTCTATATCGCTGACTTGCAGTCTTGCCGTATTACCAAACTACCCGTACTTACCTATATTGAAACTGCATCCATTTACATTACATTATTTCCTATAAATAAGTACTTATTTTTTCCCTCAATTCAGCACATTTTTAGTCTAGTAGTCGTCGAAGTTGTTGGTTTTCAGCCCAAATTCCTGATCTAGACCGGGTCGAAATAGCCTTTCATTAGGACACTTACTTAATTCTGCCAAATAAAGCCCAAGTTCTGAACGAACACGTGATGAACCTCAATAGTTGTTAACTATTGTCAGTATTTCTTAAAATAAATTATAGAAACAATCCGCCTGTATGCGTTAAAACAACAAACTATTTGTTTCACATAAATCTTCAGACATTTACATAGAAAAATAAACTTTCATAATTACTTCGCACCTGGGGTCAGTGACCTGTTCGAAACATTTTCCTTTAAACGTGCCAGCACATCAAGGTACACGTCAAACTTCAATACATTTTCTACCTTATCACAATTA